TTACAGGTATGAGCCACTGCACCCAGCCTGAGAGGTCATTTATTACTGATTCCTTTGAAAGCAGTTTCCCCAGTTTCTGTTTCTAAGATCTTTTTGTCTTTGGTTTCTAATAGTTGTACAGCAGTGTGACAGGCTGGGCATGAAGTTGTTTTTATTTGTCTTACTTGAGATTCATTGGGTCTCTTTCTTATGTATCACAGTGCTGAGAAGGAGACATGGGCCCCACTTTTACGTGAATAGAAATTTATTACACCTGCAGGAGTCAAATGGGTCTTTATGCCCTATTTCTGCGTCACAGCAAGCAGGCAGAGGTACAGAAGCTGAATCATTGCGGTTAGCCTTGGGCGGGGGAATTGTGTAGTACAAGGGGGGGAGTGGGAGGTATGTCAAGCCTCTCCTTCCTACACACTTTCTTATCTCAAGTTTCTCCTGAATTTCTTCCCCCTCCCTACACACTCCCTTATCTTCAGGCCTCTTCTCAGAGTTCTCCTCACCCTTGAGGGGGCTGGGACTAATGGATTCAAAGGATGTTTCTTTTTTAAGGGTAGGGGCCTGGGTTATCTGTGCCCTCGTGACTTTGGGCAATTGAGTGAGTTTCCCGGCTATTTTATCTTTAAATCTCCGTTACCTCTTCCCTCTCATTTCTCCTCCTGGGACTCCAGTTGCACACGTGTTGGGCTTTCTTACTGACGCTGCTGCACAGATACGGTTTTTACTCTGTGTTTTCCATTATTTTTTCTCTCTGTGCTTCTTTCTAGATATTTTCTTCTGATTTCTCTTCTGATTCACTGACTTTTCTCTCCATATACAATATGCTGGTATATTTATTGAGCTCCCGCTGGCCTCCGTACTGTTAGTATTAAAGTTCTCTGCCACAGATCTGGTCATGTCCTCCCCCATCTCCCTGAGTGTGGCATGCAGGGTTGCTTTATATTTTGACTGTGATGACTCCGTGTGGTAAGGGGGATTCTTCCCGCCTGGTAAGCATTTAATACCTCGCTGAATATCTTAGCAAGCAGGATCTCAGACCACACGGACAACTAACTTAGGGGCTATCTCAATGGAACAGCTGGAATATTTTATCTGGCTTTAGGCAGGGAGGCTTCCAAATTACACAGTGCATATAGACTTCTAATCCTATTTGTGAAAGTCTCTGGAGTAGAAATTCCTTGTCCTTTCTGGGCCATCTGTATAGTGAGAGATGGGCTCTGCTTCATTCTTCCCTCGCAGGGTCTGGACACTGGGGCCAATTGAGGTCGGTGACCCAATCCCTGCTTCATCTGTGGAGGCGCTTCAGAGAGGAAGGCTTGGTCTCAGTTAGTCACCCCTCATGGAATGCGTCCCCTGGAACCTGAGTCAGCCTCCCAGTGACTCCGTGATCTCACCCATTATTGGATTCAAAAATGCTTGTTTAACAATGTTCTTGGAAGTACTAACCCTGACACTCCCATCCCACCTAACTGGCCCCAGCCCCTGGCCCCGTCGTAAGCCAAGCCCAGAGCAAAAGGCCCATGACAGATCCTGAAGGTTGCAACTCCAGAGCTCTAGCACTTCCTCAATAAAGAAGGACAAGGCATCCTGGCTTTGGGGTTTTTACATGTTTTCTCTTTGTTCTTATCACCACTTTATTGAAAAGTAATTTATATACCATATAATTTACCCATTTAAAGGGTACAATTCAATGATTTTTAGTGTAGTCACAGAGTTACACAATCGCCACTATCAATTTTGGAATATTTTCATCACTCCAGAAAGAAACTAGATATCCATTAGCAGCCACCCCCTACCTCCCCCACCTCCCCACCCTCAGCCCCTGGAGACCCCTGGCCCACGTTCTGTCTCTACAGATTTGCTGTTCTGGACACTTCATCTGAATGGAATCACGTCATGCATGGTCTCCTGCATTCAGCTTCCTTCCCTTCTCGTGGTGTTTTTGAGATTCACCAATGTTGCGGTTTGTGTCAGCACTCTGTTCCGTTTGCTGTTGAGTACCCCCATGGCATGGACAGGCCACAGCTTTTTATCCGTTCATCCGCTGATGGGCATGTGGGTTATATCCACTTTTGCATCATTATGAATAATGCTGCTGTGAACATCCACCCACAAGTGTTTGCAGGGACGTGTGTTTTCATTTCTTTGGGGTGTATGTAGAAGTGGAATGTAGCCAGCTGTAGCTCTATGTTGAACATTTTGAGGAACCTCCAGGCTGTTTTCCAAAGAGGCTGCACCTCTGTACACTCCCGACAGCAGCGCCTGAGTGTTCCAGTTTCCACGTCCTCACCAACATCAGTTATCACCTGTCCTCGTGATTAGAGTCATCCTATTACTCAGATCCTTTGCCCACTTTTTTCAATTAGTTGTTTTTTTTAATAGCAAAAATCTGTTGATAAGGGGCTTGTATCTAGACTATATAGAGAGTCTTTTTTTTTTTATAGCAAAAAACTCTTTACAAGAGAACTTTGGGGGGGGGAAGAGTCTGACTATGTTGCCCTCAGTAGAGTGCTGTGGCATCCCAGCTCATACCAACCTCCAACTCTTGGGCTTATGGGATTCTCTTGCCTCAGCCTCCCAAGTAGCTTGGGAGTACAGGTGCCTGCCACAACACAGGGCTATTTTTTGGTTGCAGTTGTCGTTGTTGTTTAGCAGGCCCGGACTGGGCTGGTAGTTGTCCTTTATATATATATATAGAGAGAGAGAGAGAGAGAGTGTCTCACTCTGTCACCCTGGCTAGAGTGCTGTGGTGTCACAGCTCACAGCAACCTCAAACTCCTGGTCTCAAGCGATCCTCCTGCCTCAGCCACCCAAGTAGCTGGGACCCCAAGGCCCAGCTAGTTTTTCTATCTTTTCTAGTTTCACACTTGCTCGGGTTGGCCTCGAACTCCTCAATTCCAGCGATCCACTCCCCTCAGGCTCCCAGGGTGCTGGGATTCCAAGCGTGAGCGGCCACATCCTGCTGATTAGTTGTCTTTTTATTGTTGAGTTGCAAGAGATCTCTATATAGTCTAGATACAAGCCCCTTATCAGATGCATGATTTGCAAATGTTTTCCCCCATTCCGTGAGTTGTATTTTCACTTTCCCAATGGCGTCCTTTAATCTACCGAATTCTAAAATTTTGATGACGTTTATTTTGTTTTCTTTGGCAGCTTATGATTTGGTGTCATAGCTGAGAAATCATTGCCTAGTGGAAGGTCGTAAAGATTTATGTCTAAGCTTTCTTCTGAGAATTTTGTAGTTTTAGCTCTTATATTTTGACCTTTGATATAGTTTGAATTAATTTTTGTCTATGGTATGAGATGGGGGCCTAACTCCATTCTTTCGTAGGTGGCAACCTCTTGTTTTGTTTATTTTCTGTTACATTCTGGTTTTTTTTTACTCATGACATGGGTGAGAACATCACATTTTATCCCAGTTACAGTGGCCCAGTGAGGCCAGCTTGTCATCATGCTATTGTGTTCCCATAGTGAACACATATAGAAAACCATCCCCAAGGACTAGTGTAGCAGTGCCTCACTCCCACCCCTGGCCGCAACGGCTCCTAAGAGTCCTAATATAAACTAATATAAGTAATTTTTTCCTCTGGTTGAGTCATCAGCCATTTCTAAGGGTTTTTTTTTTTTTTCCTGCTAAAACACTGATATTTGTTTTGCAACTGAATTTTCCAAGTCGCTTCCAGAGACATTAACCAACTTCTCACTTGCTGGGGATAGGAAACAGGGAAAAGACCCCACTGAGATCAACTGCTTGGGTGGGAGGGGGTGGCAGGTGGAGCAGACAGTTTTTAGTACCCAACATGCAATTTGGAGAAGGGTGACCTCTGTGTCACACCACAGTCAAAATCCCAGGAAAATTCTCGGGAAGGCAAGGACGTATCTTACCTTCCCTCTGCCCCCAGCGCTTTGCAGGCAGCCAGCAGCAGAGCAGGAGCGAGAGGGGAGGAAGGGTGAGCAAAGCCAGAGGCCGGCTGACAGGACCGCAGGAGGAGCACACAGAGGGAGGGCATCAGAAGCTGGGCTCCCCCCACACGACTCTGTCCCTGGAAAAGCTGCCTGGTTCCTGGCAGACAACTTAGAAAAGGCACTCAGCGCCTACTCCCCTGGCCCTCTGCACAGAAAGCCCAGCCTCAGCTCTGTAGAGAAGGGGCCCTGCTCGTTGTCCTGCCAAGAGCAGGATTGCAGCTCCTGGCCCTGACCAAGCCCCAGCAGGACCAGTGAGCTCACGCTAGACCGGGCAGAGGAGGAGACCAACTGTTTGCCAACCTGCTGGCATCAGAGGGAGCAAGGCAGCTTCTGGCCTGCTGCCTGTGTGTGGGTAAATGCCTGGCCGCTGACCTGCTTGGCAGCATTAGAGACAAAAAGAAACTTGTGTGCTGCCCCACTGGGGCTGGGCGTGAAGGGCGCTGCTGAAGAGTGTGCTCAAACCTCTGAGTTCCTGTAGCAGGTTGAACTGTATCACAAGAAAGATGTGTCTGCCTGACCTCTGGGACCTGTGACTGAGACAGAGGAGAAGGCTGCAGAGAGGTGGAGGCAGAGGCTGGGGCGTTGCAGGCCAAAGCCCAGGGAAGCGCAGGGCCTGTAGAAACTGGAAGAGCTACAGTCAGACCTGCCCCTGGAGCCTTCCGAGGGAACAGAGCCCTGCTGACACCTTGATTTCCGACATCTGGTCTCCAGAACTGCGAGTGGCTAGATCTCTGTTGTTTTAAGCTGCCCTGTGTGTGGTGTTCTGCTTGGCCGCCCCAGGAAGCAAATACAGTTGTCTGGGCTGTGGGCCCATAGCCAAGTCACTGCCTTCACCATTCCTGCTTCTCCCAGGACACCGTAGTCCTGCTTAAGAAGGCAAGTCCCTGGCTCCTGCCCCACTCATGAGCCACCACCCCGCACCCTGAGAGGGACAAGACATGGCCCTGGTATGAGGCCAAGGGCCCCCCAGGCAGGGGTGGACACAGGGTGGACAGGGGAAGGGGAAGGGGATTCATTCAGTGCACAAATGGACAAGGCCAGGGTGTTGAAAAACATAATTCAGAGTTTAATGTTTTCCAGGAAGAACACTGGGGGAGCTCAAGCAGTGGGCAGCACTCTGCTCATGGGCACGCCCCGAGTCTGACCAGCAGAAGTCCATTAAAGGGAGGCACATGCAGACCCCAGACCCCACGGCCAGGCCCAGAGAGGGAAGAGGGGTCAGTCAGAACCAGGGGTCACCAGGCAGTGGGAGGAAGGCCCACGTGGGAGGCTCAGGGGCCACAGCAAACAGTGAGAATGACCCTGGCAGGGTGGGGAAGAGCTGTGGGGTCCTAGAGGTCAGTGAATGCAGGGCTGCCAGCTGCCGGGGACAGAGCCAGAGCACCAGTGAGATGCAGCAGCCTGCTTTGGAGGACTTGAAAGAGCCACAGGGGCCACTGCCTCTCTGACACCCACTTCCAGGGAGTCAGTTCCCTTTTATGCTGGCTCAGGACTGAGGCTATAGGAGCCCTCCACGCCCCTCCACCTCTCCCTGCTCTGGGACCCTGAGAAAGGCCAAAGATCTGGATGGTGCCATCAGTCTGGCTGCAAAGCAGCACAGCGGCTGCGGAGCGGGGAGGCTGGACCCTGGAGGAAGGGACTCTGAGGCAGTGTGCAGGGTGGGAACAGAATCAAAGGCCTGGGCCTTCTGTGGCTGCTCTGCGTGGGAGGAGAGATAGGCTGAGAGGCAGGGAGAACCCTCCACCCCGCGCCCAGGACTCAGGGTGGTGTGAGGTATGCAGCAGCACTGTGCCTGGAGCACTGGGAGCTTTACTCCTCATAGAAACATCAGCAGGTCTGGGGTCCCTAAGGTCCCCAGCTGCAGTCAGGAGCCCAGAACTCAGCTCAGAGCTAATGGCAGGGGCTTGGCTGTCCCTCTTGGAGGCTGACAGTTACTGCCCCAGCTGCAATGCCCTCACTGTTATGGCCCAGAAAGACCAGCTGAGGCTTGGGCAAGGCCACAGGGATGTCACCAAGACATGGACATTGGCCCAGCTGTCTCCCAAGAAGGCTCGAATATGGCCTAAAAGAATTAAGCCAGACGTGGTTTCCTGGGTGCCCCTCGGCTTCTGCCTTACATGTTCTTTTGGACAGAGCCTCTAGCCAGCTCCAGCAAAAAGGACACTCCCTTGGGAGCCAGCCGGCTGAAAAGGCACAAATCACAACACTTTCCTTTTTCCTCCACTGTTTTCTTTGCTCCTTTTATAACCTTCAGAATTTGCCTAATCATTTCCAGGGAACCGAGCAGGGCAGGGGTGCTGCACTCTGGGACACCCTGCGGCTGCACGGGGTCAGTTAAGGATGTGCACACAGAAGGGAGCAGGGCTGTCCTGCAGGTGCCCCACCCTGGTTACTTCATCTGCCGTCAGCCCTCCAGGGAGGGGTGAGAGCTGGCCTCCCGTCCCTCCCGTCCCTCCCGTCCCTCCGTGAAGGGCGTCGGGGTGAACGCAGAGGCTGGGGAGGCAGATGCCAGGGAAACCAGGAGGGGGAGGAGGCGACAGACAGGGCAGCCTGGCTATGGGCCCTGGGGTGCGCTCCATGCGGAGCGGGGTATGCGGGGGCGCGGGGCAGCGAGAGGAAGGAGTGCAGCTGACCGGCTAGGGCTCCGCCGCGTGCTTCACCAGGTAGCCGCTGAAGGTGATGTAGGTGTCGAACTCGTCACTGAAGATGGCGTTCTCACGCTCGCCGCGGAAGAGGCGCACCCACACCTCGTCCTGCTCGCGCAGCTGCAGCAGGAGGCTCTGGCTCTGCATGATGCTGCGGTCGCTGACCTGCGCGTACAGGATCACCACCTCCTCCGCGTTCCGCATGATGTGCAGGTAGGTCTCCTTCTGGTTCCAGGTGTGCACGTTCAGGCTGAAGAAGTAGATGCCGGGCACGTAGCAGTAGAACCTGCCCGTGAACATGTTGAAGTGGCCGTAGAGGTTCACGAACTCTGTGTCGAAGACCACCGTCTGGTAGTAGTCGTTGCTGTGCAGGGGCTTCTTGCGGCCCACAGAGAAGGCGGCGTAGTGGTTCTTGCACCGGTCCCCCGGAGCCCCCATGGAACCTTTCTGCCCTTTGGGTCCAACGTGGCCCCTGGCGCCCGCCGAGCCTGTTTTGCCGTATTTCCCCTGGAGGCCACGATCCCCTCGGTCACCCTTCTCCCCTAAAAGGGACAGGAAAACAGGTGGCCTTGAGTGAGTGCTCAGGTGGTCGCCTGGGCCTGGGCTGCCAGCTGTGACCTGCTGGGCCTTGCTTCTGCCCCACCCTGCTGTGTGGCTCCCATCCTGGCACCAGGGGACTTTAATCCCCAAAGTGGGCAAACAGACTCAGTCCAGGGACTGTTCTATTCTCATCCAGAAGCAGTCAGTTTTTTTTTTTTCTTCTGGAGAGTTCTGGCAAAGAAAAGGGAACATAAGGGTTTGTCCAAAAGCAACAGGGTCTGTGGCCAGGCTCACTCGGAGCAAATGAACTGCAGATGTTGGGGCATCTCGGTTACGAGCATTCCCATCAGATTCTGCGGGACCGGGCAAGGTCATGTGCTGTGTGCAGGGCTGTGGAGAGTGGGTGGCATTCAGAAAGCAGTTCAGGGGCACCAAGCCTCAAGACAAAGATCACAGAAGTCTACAGTCTACACGAAGTGGGGGGAGGGAGCATTCTCGGTCCTGTGGCCCCTTCCTAATCCCTCTGCTAGGAAGGGGGCCAGAGCCTCGAAATCAGACTTGTCTCTGCCTCTCCTCAGGAGACAGCCTGCCTGTTCCCTCCCCAGCCCCACTGAAGGGTTCTGTCTCACCCCGGGAGGGCCCCTGCACTAGTCCTTGCTGCGGTCTGACCTTTCAGGATGGTGATGTTGATCTGGGGCACTGGAGCCACCGGGTACAGGGGGGCAGCGGGGTCACAGCAGCGAAAGCACTGGGAAGTGGGCAGCTCCTCGCCCTGGCTGGGGCGGTATTTTTCATGTTTTTCTTCAGCCCTGAGGGAATAAAGCACCACAGTGAAAGTCGTGGCCTCCCGGCCTGTGAACACATCTCTCCTCTGCTGCCCCTGGGTCTGGCGCACCTGACCTGCCTTCTCCCCTCTCACCTGGATGTTCAAGGCTCCCTGTTAAACTTGGCACATGGAGAACTCTGGGGTCTTAAATGACACTTCAGAAAGAGCCCCCTG